AAGACAGGAAGCCCAAGAGGGAGATATCTCCCCATTGCTCATATCAAGAAAGACAGGAAGCCCAAGAGGGAGATATCTGTGAAGGAGACTTGTTTATACAGTTTGGTTTTGTTTTTATTTTTTATTTTTTTGTGAAAAGAAATGTTTGTTCTGCTTGATGAGAAACATTTACATGTATAACTGTATTGCACTCTGTGGAAATATGTTTTGGTAATGTAAATGTGGTGCAAGAATAAGCCTGTATCTAAAAATGTTAATAATGTTGCTAGGTTGGAACAGTTGTTGAAGGGGCTGCTGACTTTTACTCGTCTCGTTTATCTAAACGAGACAGGAAGAGCACTATCGTCGACGAGTTGCTGGCTGACACAGAATTTAGAAGGTACGGTATGCCATGATATTATGTGAAGTTGTTTCATACAAGATATGCTGCATTAAACTATCGACCCCAAGTTTAAAATATTTTAGACACGGCTTACACATGTATACAGTCAATTGCAGAAATTCTGATCACTTATATATATTATATCTATAGGTAAATTCATTGGGTGACGAGTGAATTTCGCGTTGAATTCAGGAGTATTAAAAGCCGATATTGCACGAATCACCGCGAAGCGGAGTGAATTCAACGGGGTGAATTCAACGCGGAATTCACGAGTCATTCAATGAATTTACCTTGAATCTCATGCCTTAATTTTAAAGGAGAAAAAAATTATAAAAACAAAGACAAAAAAAAATGAGAGTGCGATTGCAAAATTCATAGTTAGTAACTAACTATGCAAAATTGAAACGGCGCGTACTAGTAGACATCAATCAAAAAGTAGCTGAAAAACTCAAGCACAGGAACATTTCATAAATTCATCCCATAACTTGTTCTGGCATGGAATATTCAAGAAAATATGACAAGCAAAACAGCTCTAGTTTTCTGCAAGAAACGGGGAAGGTCGCTCAACTCCCCGACTTTAAAATTTAGGTAGTTTATCTGACCTGTCTACACTAGTAGACTTAGAGTGATCATTTAATTATGATCATATTTATAATATTCCTTTTAGTGCTTTATCAGCAGTAATTTTCTGATTTTTAAATACTTTCTGCTCAAGGTTTTCGTACTTGTATGAGTGTTTTCAGATATTAACAAGAACATACCGTGTCCAGGCAACGCAAATATAGTTTTTACCAGCGCCGCGATCGATTTGATCGATTTTGCGTATGATCTTTTCACATCATTTTTTGAATATTTTATCATTGCAGCGAAAATTTAGAATTCAGGTTGCATTCGTATTATTCTCAGAGAATTTATAAGATGAAAGTTTGCTTTGCATAAAATTATTTTAGAACAAATCAACGAGCAGTATATATTTAAAGTTAAAGGGCATATGACACAATTTTTTTTATTTTGAAAATAGAACCAATATRAAGGAARTAATAGTTCTGTAAAGWGCCACTGGATGCAGGCTTCTAATTTCAGAGAAAAATGGATTTTATGCTAATTTGATGACATCAAGTTGTTAACTCATTGATAATACAAAATTGCCCGATTGTTTATTGTCACCTTATTGTTTTGTAGAAGATATTTGTTATGTAATCAAAAACAATCTTTCACAGTTTGACATGGGTAAACTTGGAACACTTGTTACAAAACACAGTTGAAATTTTATAGAGTACACAAAATGATGTCATCAAATTAGCATAATGGATTTTTAACTCCGATTTTCTCTGAAATTKKAAGCCCTGTATCAAGTGGTAATTAACCAAGCTTTTATTCTTGAACTATTAACTCTATTTTTCAAATAAAAAAATTCGTGTCATATGCACTTTAAAGAAAGAAAGAAAGAAAGAAAGAAAAATGTTTAGAAGCTGCTCGAGTCGAGAATCGAACCCGAGATCGTCAGTTCAACGCCGCTATTTAAGCATGATCTTGCGTGTAAAATATGTAAAACAAATATCTACAGGAAAAATAAGCATAAGTATATTTCAGTAAAAAAAATGAAGGAAAGAAAAAAAAATCTAACCCGACGCTACTCGAGTAAGATAGTTTGTGTAAAAATCTAAATAATGGCTCGAAAATAATTGTTAAACGAAAATCTACAGAAAAAATTAACATGACTAGAACAAACCTCATTTAAAAACAGAAAGAAAAAAAATGAGTCGAGAATCAAGGCCGCGATCCTATTAGTTCGAGCATGTAGGCATTCTGTCTGCGCATGCGCGTGAAAGGGCCCATGGACGGCCGCGTCGCTTACCCGCCAGCAGATTCGATGAGTGTGAAGTAAACAAAAAAAAATTATCATGGCGGTCTCAATAGTCCACTTCGCGGATAATTTGAAATTTTACATTACGTCGTTATGGTAAATCATTGACATCACTGGAAAGAGCGTCATAAAATCAGCAAATTTGCCAAGTTTGAAAATAATCTGATTTAAATTCAAAGAGATACGGCACTTCAAAAACACTAAATTTTGCATAGAAATGTTTGGCGAGGTTGTAACAAGTCAAGGTCAACCTCAATCTCATGCCGACAGCCCATACATTTCTTTGTAAATTTTGSCGACTTTTAAACGCTGTATCTCCTTGAATTTTCATCGAATCATGCTCAAACCTGGTAAACATACTAATTTTATACTGTTCTTTCCAGTGGTGGTTTTTCGATATTTGCTCAATTTCAAATAGCTGTGTTATYCGCGAAGTGGACTATTCGCAGTGTACTCTTTCTTGCTTCGCTTTGATTGTTTATTAATTCTACCTAGTTTGTTAGTTCAAAGAGTGGTTGTGTAGTTTGTGAAAAAAAAGTCAGCCAAGTGCATGTTCGATCTTATGTCGACGAATTTCTTTTTGCTTCCAGGGATTCATACGTGAGAAGGGTTTGTCGTACGACTTCCATATATGGTTGTGCATGTATGGCGCTGATGTGCACATAGAAGGCGCTGATGTCCCAATTACGTGGAGAAGAACTTAGAAAATTTCAAAGACCTAAACCTAAACCGAAAAGAAATTTTTGAAGAACGAGTACTAAGATTCGAACCAGCGCTATGTATTGCCTAACCCGATATTTTCCCTAAACCTAACCATTAAGCCACGAGACCAATTCGCTTGAGTGAACCTGAATTTTTGTGATATTTATGCAACGGCATGCATGAATAACCACGCATATGTACATAAGATTGAATATATAATTAATGAACCATCTATAGGGACATGAGAGCCTTCTATAGGTACATCAGAGACACGCATATGGTCATCCATATATGGAAGTCGTACGACAACCTCTACTCTCATACGTAACAACACAGTTCACTCAGCCACACCTGTGCACCATATTGGTAGTGCTTTACAAAAGCGCACGCAATTTATTCAATAATTTGACTATACCCACCCAATTTTACAGCTTTTTAGCTTTACAATGATGATAAACACAAGCACGGGCGATAGTAGAAATAGAAAGTTATTTTAATATATTGAAAGCAAGAACAATGCGAGTGACAAAGTTTGTATTGAAATTCTCATTAAAGTTGAAAGAACGTTTTCACGAGGGAAAAATACCTTGATTTTGCTTTAAATAAACACATTTAAAGAAAAACACTCCATTCACCTTCTCCAGGAATTTCGTCCACCAGAGACTTGAAAATATGAGGTTCCCGTAAGGTCAAAAATGGTTAAAAACTCGACGAGACGGTAGCCATTCACGAAGGTTCGGAACTACAACGTCGAACGATCCGTGCGATGCAATTTTTATTTTAAAAATGACTTCATTTCTGAAATTACTAGAAGTAATATATTCACTCAGTGCTGCTTTTATTCACGGTCGAAAGTAAATTTTCTTGCTAAATGACGCTGAAGTTGGGCAAATAGCAGCACTGTTTAAATTTTCACATACAAAAGCAAGCATTAGCAAAGGGTAATATATTGATAAAACAAATTGCTACTATAAAAATCTAAGATGACTAGAACACTTATATTTCAGTTAAAAAAAGAAAGAAAGAAAGAAAGAAAAAAAAAAGAATTTCTCAGAAGTGCTCCAGTCGAGGATCGAACCTTGGAACTCTGGATTATGTGTCCCTCGGGAATGCTAAACTGCGACGCGAAAAAAAAACTTTAAATAATATGTAAAAACACTTTTAAGTAATATGTAAAATATGAGCGGGAGACCTTTATTGGCATTTAAAACTACGAGCTGCAAGTCGACTGACAACTGTACTAGCACAAGTTTTAAGGTTCTCGATATTATAAAGGCTTGGTAGCACTGCTGTTAGTCGATGTATTTTTTAAATTCTTTTACTGAAACATAAAGCCTAATTGCAGCGCTATTGTCGCACGACAATCCTCACTTTGCTATCGCACAACTTAAATCGTACGTATAAACTGCCTTGTTGCAGCGATTGAAAATCGCCATTAAGTTGTAGCTAAATTTCAAGCATGTTCGAAACTCAGAGGAAGGTCGCGCGACGATCGCAAATGTAAACGAGCCTATACAATGTAATAGTCTCCTTCACGGTTACCTGCGCCATCTTGAAAGGTAGCCGTGCCTTGTCATCGAAGCAAGACAACCGTTGAGCGTGCAATAATAGAAACCTTCTTTCACACCTATAGACAATTATTCACAGGTATTTATCATTGCACGCTCAACGGTTGTCTCGCTTCGGTGCAAAGGCACGGCTACCTTTCAAGATGGCGCAGGTAACCGTGAAGGAGACTATTGAGCTAATTAAATTCTTTTGTGTGTGTGTGTGTGTGTTTATTTATTTTGTCCAGATATAACAAAAAGAAATATTTAGAAATCCAATCATCCAAGCAAAGCGGTAAAAAAGGGTTCTACAAAAAGAAAATGAACAGACGAAAACCTAACTGGGCCAGAAAGTAGTCCCTAAAGAGACACTCGACCAAGTATGATATACCCAGCATTGCTGTTGATTTACCATGATGGTTTGCTAGAGAAAACGACGTCGCTGCATATTGCCAGTCGAAGATGTTTGCCAGCTGATCCAAACGGTTTTTTGAACAGTTAAAATTAAAATTAAAATTAAAATTAAAATTAAAATTAATTAATTAATTAAAATTCATTACCGGGTAGTTGGTTTATATATAGACCTCTCCCGAATTCGCCTGGATGAACACGAAACAATGGTTTGAGCTCGAGGCAGGACTTGATAGACAAAAGAATCAAGTTCAGTCTCGACTTGAAACCATTCTATGATCATCCAACTGAATTCGGGAAAGGTCTGTTGGGAGTGAGGATCCAGATGATGTCGATCGCGCGCCTGAATGCTGCATCACTAAACTTAGTTGTTGTGACTTTTGCTTTGTGAGCTCTGGCGTCTTCTGGCTAAGCATGGAATTAATGTAATCAGTAATGTCATTTAATAGTTAATAAATACAAATGATTGCACAATTTGGTTTTATGATTTTTTTAATTGTCAGTTTGTCATTCCTCGTAAAAAGTATGTTTTGGACTGTGGTACACACAACTCGCACCTTAATCGATTAATAGAGCTAACAATGCAGCCAATTATTCCTCTTTATCCATTCATATTATTCCAGTGTTATGTGAATTCGTTGAGACATTCGTCTATCGWGAATTCCACCAGTTAGGCTGGTAGTAGCAGTAGAACAGCTTCAAGTTACCACTACCCTCGCTAAATGGAACAGCACCTTTTTTATCGGTTTCGTTATCATCGTCCTCATTATCCCAATAGGCCCATTCATCCATTACTGTCATTCCATGGACTTGCTGACAAACGCCGTCCTTTGCCTTGTACAGTAGGAAGGGCACACTGGATGGTAAATAGATGGGATTGGATGGAAAACCATCTTTACGGCAGCAGAAGTCGACGACAGTGTTTGCTCCACTGAGTGCAATTATTTTGCCCTCTAAACCATCGGGAAGAACACCATTGTGTTTGTTTTGGTTATCATCATCTTCATCGTCCCAGCGAATGCCTCCTTCAGTAAGTCCTATATATAGCAATGAAGCATAGTCATAAATCTTACATAATCAGCATACTTACATGCAATTTTGGAGGTAAGAGCACGTTGCCCAAATGTATGAAACGGACATTTACATTCTCTAAACGATTACATACGCTGCGAAGTGATTGATAAAGATGTAAAACTTGATCTATATATCGCCTAAAATTGGTAAATGAGTCATAATGTAAGTAATTATTTAGGTCCTCATATTGTCACTACTATTACCGGTTGTCTAGGTTTCGATTGACATTGTACTTGCGATATCATATAGGGTGATTGCAGTGGCCATAACTAGTCAGTCCCATCTATTGGCCATACAGTGGCGATGGCATTGTTTTCAAGATAACATGCGGTGATGAAAACGTACGTTTGCTCGCTTCGTTCAAGATTATGACTTTTTTATTGTTCACCAATCTGTCTAGTTTTATTGATTTAACTGGCATTGCGCTTTCATAACAACAAGAAGCTACTCACCATCGGGACAATTCCCTTTCTTTGCTATGCAATACGATCCTTTGGGCCATAAAAGATGAGATGATGTTTCTTGAGTTTTTACGCAGAAGTCTTGYCGGGCGTTTCTCCCATTAATTATGCCAAGATGATTGCCAGGGGACTGGCTGTTCCCATTGTCATCATCCTCGCAGTCTTGATAATAGCCTCCAGTCTTCCAAACAAAATCTTTRCTGTCGGGACAATCTGYTGATTTCRGTGYTGGAAGACCYTTTGATTCTCTTTTTTCGTTTGATTCCTTCCTAGTTTGCAAATTCACCATCGGAATAGCGTAGGTACCTTTTGGCCATGTTAACTCAACTGAGACATTTGGGCCACCTGCAAAAGATACAAACAATAGTCGACTTTAGATATTTTGGTTCAGTGACCATGCACAAAAGAATTGCAGACGAGGCTCCGGGGAAATAAAAGAATAAATCAAGATTATCCATTGTTTCCCCGGAGCCTCGTGTGCGTTCTTTTGTACATAGTCATCGAACCAAAATATCTAAAGTTGACTATTAAGAAGACCTATATAATAGACCAAACCCAAATTCGCTCGGACGAACACCAAACGATGGCTTCATTTCGAGGCTGGAGTTTTCGACAAAAGATAAAACTCCAGCCTCCAAATTATGGCATTGTTTCGCCTTCATCATATTGATTATAATATACACCTACTTGCCGAAAGGCCCGGGCGGAAAGGTTGTCATAGAAAATAGGAAATTGTACTTTAGTAAATAGCAATTTAGAAATTAAGAATAAATTAAATRAATTATCCACRTCAGTGACTCGCAGGCGAATCGAAAAATACAGAGACACGGTTACGACTTAAGGTTTTAAGGTTAAGGTTTTTTTAAGCTAATCAGAAATACATGGCTTAGCTAAGTAAGCTCATAAACTTATGGGACAATATTTTCGTTATTCACTACTTTAATGGTAACCACAACGGGAAAAATATCCTCGACAATCATCAGMRGTTATTTGTCCGAAAGCATATAATATGAATGGACGAGGTTGAAGGCAGCAGCGAAAAGCTGTGCCTTTTTCATGAATTAATGATGTCAGTTAAGGATGTCAAACAGGCTTTAAGGAAAGCAGAACAAGACTTTTTTAACAAGGAAATAGCTGAGAACAAAGGAAACAGTGGCGCAATTTGGAAAACCATCCGTCGAGCACTACCAGAGAAGTCGAATCAGCGCACGTCCTACTCAAGAGACACACAAACACTTGCAAATGATTTCAACAAATATTTCATCTCCGTTGGTGCGAATGCAGCGAGCGACGCTACGAAGTTGGCTAGATCTCACGGTCTTTCTGACAGCTACACACAACAACAAAATGTCACTACTCCTGTCAGTGATGATAATTTGTTTGATTTCCGGCGAGTGTCCAACACAGATGTACGCGACGTAATAATGTCTATGGGTCCTAATAAGGCACCTGGCCACGATAGGGTTCCCCTGCGTGCGATCAAGGACTGCCTCTCATCCATCGTACCAACCTTAACAAGCCTCATTAACACCTCATTTACTACATCTGTCTTTCCACGAGCCTGGAAGAAAGCGGAAGTTGTCCCACATCCTAAAGAAGGTGACCCAGAGGTTCCTGBCAATAACYGCCCTATTTCTCTTCTCCCAGCTCTCTCCAAAGTAGCAGAGAAGATTGCATTAAATGATTATAATAGCTATCTCACTAAAAAGAACAAACTAACACATCATCAGAGCGGTAACCGGAAATACCATTCAACCGAAACCTTAGGATTACTAGTTACAGGGGATATTTACAGAGCAATGGACGAGAAGAAGCTAACTGCCATGATTCTTATAGACTTAAGCAAAGCATTTGACAGTATATGCCATAATACCCTTCTATTCAAGTTAAAAAATTTAGGGACATCACCAACGGCCATCAAGTGGTTTGCAAGTTATCTCACAGATCGGCAACAGTCTACTAGGGTTGGTACGTCTTTATCTGACCAATTGACAGTTACTCACGGGGTTCCTCAGGGGTCCATACTGGGACCTATGCTGTTTGGACTGTACATGAATGATCTGCCCTCTGTGGTCAAGTACAGTCATGTTGAGTCATATGTTGATGATACGAAGATCTATCTGTCATTTGACGCAAAAGACGTTGACTCATGTTTGTCTCAAGTAGAAGAGCTTGAAATTTGTGTTTTGAAGCACCAAAGAAAGTGACTGCTGAGTATTAGTGCATGGAATATCATGAGAATTGGTGAGGTAGCCTTGCCAAGTCAATTTAAATTTTCTTGKTTGTTACAGAAAATTGCTCTTTTAAAAGACTTCAAACCAAAGTCAGAACAAATGGAAGCTTGGTTTCATCTGTCGAAAAGTAGAGATGAGTTCATCCGTTTGAGTATTGAGTATTGAGTATTGAGATATGTGACATCTTTCGTGGTTGCCGTTTATCTATAGTATTGGTGATTTCTTCTTTTATTTATCTGATAAATGCAGCCAAATTTATAGTCGAAGTGAGAGACGGCGATATCACCGACTACAATGTGTTAATGTTGATCCCCGAGAGTTTCAACTCCAGAGAGGTCAAAGACAACATGAAAGCTTCAAGATAACATCGTAYGTGTTGCTGTCGACGAAGCTCACTGCATCGAACAATCGTAATTATTTTAGTTAAATGTTGTTTGTAAATGTTGTGTTCGATCAAGTTTGCTTAATCTTCTACAATCATGTAAACAAAAGATTCGATATTATCTTCATGTGAAAAATTATCAAGCCATTAAAAAAAGGAAATAATTTTCCTCATTTGCAGTTGCAAGTTACATAAAGATAAGTTTTCTCCAACTCGTTTTTTATTGGTTCATGCCGGCGCATGCGCATGCAAGTTCTTCTGGACCCTTTTCCCCGCGAGAGGAACGTTAACCGAGCGGGTCGACAAGGGGCTGGGGCTGGACTAGAAACAATCCTGAAAACAGTACTAAGAGGCAACGTTAGTTTCATAGTGCATGGTCAACTTACCTGTAGGTAGCCTGACGTTAAGGGTTGACGGATAGGCTTTAAGAGCCATTTTGATATTTTCAGTTCTGTTGGATAGCAGTTTTTTTGAAAAACGACAGGGAATTCTTGAATTTCTTATGTCTTTGTAAGCACTGTAGAGTTTGACATCAAACATCTTTTGGATTGACATCAATCGAATAGTAATCGGCTCTGGCATGTTATCTCCACCTATTTGGTACCGTACCTCACGAGAACCAAATTTTGAGCCAGATTTCATTGACTCGCTGAGAGACTCAACGTCTACTGTTACTGAGGCACTAGCTCCTCCATACCCTCCTGACGCTGAAACAGAACCAGCGTACTGCAAGCACAAGATAATGTATTTTAGTAGCCTGTTTACAGTGCAAAGAGAACTGTGACCCCTACCCCTGTGATAACATATTTGCATTCATTAAGATTCATATGACATTGTTTAGAAGTTATTGTTTAATTAGATTCAATAATTTAATATTTGAATATTTGTCGTATTTTAAGTACTGGAAATAAAGAAAATAATGTGATCCCATAATGCATTGCGATAGACACATCAAGGCACCTCGGGCTTTTGTGTGACAGTTCCTCTGAACAAAACTGACCTAACCGGAACTCCCGCGACATGCCGTCATAAGAAGRCCCGGGCCCGTTGTAAGGGAACCTTGAGGTAGGTTCGTTTTCGTTAAGACCAACGCTGTATAGAGAAGGGTTTGTTGTACGACTTCCACATATGGTTGTGCATGTACGGCGCTGATGTGCACATAGAAGGCGCTGATGTGCTCGTAGAAGCCTCTGATGTCCAAATTATGTGGAGAACAACTTATAAAATTTCAAAGAGCTAAACTTAAACCGAAAAGAAATTTTTGAAGAATGAGTACTAAGATTCGAACCAGCGCTATGCATTGCCTAACACGATATTTTCCCTAAACCTAACCATTAAGCCACGAGATCAATTCGCTTGAGTGAACCTGAATTTTTGTGATATTTATGCAACGGCATGCATGAATAACCAGGCATATGTACATAAGATTGAATATACATGTATAATTAAAGAACCATCTATAGGGACATGAGAGCCTTCTATAGGTACATAAGAACCATGCACATGGAGATCGATATATGGAAGTCGTACGACAACCTCTACTCAGAGAAGAAGCTGAATAGTGTTATTAGCGTTTGTAATGCTGCCTACGGG